GATAACACAATCGCATACCGTTTCCTTGTTTCCGAAAAGTCGACTTTTGCGCTCGACTACGTATCGCTAGAACTGATATGGATAATTTTTAGTAAAAACCAGTAAGGAAAGTAGTAAAGTCGGACTGGGCCGCCTATATAGTACCCATTACCACTTTGGGTATATTCTATTTATATACTAACAGACGTCGCCTTTTCGAAGGAAAACTAATTTCAGTACGTTGTGTCCATCGGCCTAGCTATGGGTCTTTTATACACCATTTACTTTAAATCGGACGAAAATATATAGGGGAGCTATAACTAAATTTGAACCGATTTCACTAAACCTAGCACACATCATTTTCGAAGTAATTCAGTACCCTATGCCTAATTTCGTGCAAATCGAAAGGTACATAGGGACTTTGGTGCACCATTTACATATAATCGGACGAAACTATATATGGGAGCTATATTTAAATCTGAACCGATCTTCTCTAATTTCAAAAGGGTTCGTCCTGGGGACAAATGAGTGACTAGTGCCAAATTTCATCCAAATCGGAATATAAATGCGACCTGCTAAATCCAAGTTTCAGGATTCCAACTCCATACGTTCACGATTCAAACTATACCAAATTTAGTACACATGGTACGAATTTCCAAAACGTTTTACTTACCCAAAACCTACACCACCTCAATTATTCCAAATTCGAATTTCAGGATTCCTACTTTATTGGTTCTCCCGCAATCAAAATTGTACCAAATTCAGAACACAGTAGTACGAATTTTCAAAACTTCCTACTTACCCAAACATACACCCCCACAGTGATCTTAATTCCATGTTTCAGGATTCCAAATCTTTTGGTTCACCCACAATTCAAATTGTACCAAATTTAGTACACCGTAGTATTCAGCACACAGTAGTACAAATTTTCAAAGCCTACTTAACACAAACATACACTCCCACAGTGATCTTAAATCCAAGTTTCAGAATTCCAAATCTTTTGGTTCACCCACAATTCAAATTGTACCAAATTTAGTACACCGTAGTACCAATTTCCAAAATTTTCTACATACCCCAATCCTACACCTCCACAGTCATCCTAAATCAAAATTTCACGACTTCAACTCTATCGCTTCACCCACAATTTAAATTGTACCAAATTTAGTACACATTAGTACAAATCTCTAAAACTTCCTACATATCTCAATCTTACATCTCAACAATGATCCTGACTCCAAATTTCATGATTCTAGCTCTATTGGTTTACCTAAAATTCAAATTGTACCAAATTTAGTACCATTTAGTAATAATGTCTTAAATTGAGTCCTAACCCCAATTCTACACCCCTACAATGATCCTGACTCCAAATTTCATTGTTCGCGCTCTATAGGTTCACCCAAATCGAAATTGTACCATTTATAGTACGATTTAGTACTTTTCGTACACATAAGTTAAAACGTACGTACATATCCCAATCCTACACTCCAACGGTAATGTTAATTTCAATTTTCAGGATTCCATCTCGATTTGCACCTCCAAATCAAATTTGTACCAAATATAGTACCATATAGCACTTTTCGTACACATGAGTACACGCTTTCAAAACCATCTCCTTATATCGACCCTACTTCTCAACCCTTATTCGCATTCCAAATTTCAAGTTGTTAGCTCTATCCATTCACATGCTACGAAATTGTACCAAATTAAGTACATTTTAGTACTTTTCGGATAGTTATAGTTCGAATTTCCAAAGACTCTTTGGTACATCTATCCTACACTCCATCAGCGACCACCAATTCTAATTTCAGAGTTTTAGCTCTACCGGTTCGCCAAATACTAATCGTATCACATTTAGTACTTTTCGTACCGTTCTAGTACGAATTTCCATAACCAAAGCCTTATCTGTCACCTTTGGACCAAGAGTAACCCTCACCCAAAATTTTAAGATTCTAGCTTCAGCCGTTTCGTCTGGGCTTTGATGAATCGTTAAGTCAGTCAATCAATAAGTCAGTTAATCACTTTACTCTTTTATTAGTATAGATAGATAACTTAAAGAGCCCATTTTATTTGCCAACTAACATACCAATTGAATTAAAGGTGCGTCTATAGTTATGCTACGCAGTGTATAATACCCTTACAGCATAGTTGAGTAGGGTTTAAAAGTCCACACACTGAAAAAAATATTTAAAAAAACCTAACCTACAATAAAACCAGTAAGGAAAGTAGTAAAGTCGGACGGGGCCGACTATATTATACCCTTCACCACTATGGGTATATTAAACAGAACGATTAACATGAAATTGGATGAACTAAAATATGTGATATTTATCGAAATGTGAAAATCGGACGAAACTATATATGGGAGCTATATCTAAATCTGGACCGATTTTCACGAAACTTGACAGACATCACTCTAAGCTCAATTCAGTACGTTATGCCAAATTTCGTGCAAAGCGAAAGATATTTAGGGATTTTGGTGCACCATTCACATAAAATCGGACGAAAATATATATGGGAGCTATATCTAAATCTGGACCGATTTTTTCCCAATTTCTATAGGGTTCGTCCTTGGGCCAAATAAGTGAACTGTGCCAAATTTCATCCAAATCGGATCATAAATGCGACCTGTACTTTGTTCACAAAAATACATGGACGGACGGACGGACAGACGGACATACGTAAATCGACTCAGAAAGTAATTCTATGCATATTCTCAAAAGGAACTGTGGGTCTATCTCGATTCCTTTTGCCTGTTACAAACATATGCACAAAGACATAATACCCTGTACCACAGTGTGGTGAAGGGCAGCGTGACCGCTGAAAATTTTCAAAAAGTATCACAAAAAGTATCATTTTTTAAAAAAAGTAGCACATAACTTCTGAAAAAGTGTCACAAAAAGTGGCACACTTTTTTTACTTTTTATTTAATAAAAAACTATATAAAACATAACAAATAATTCATTTATGTGTATTTTAATATACAGTAAACTGAAAAAAACTAAATAAAATCACATATTCTTACAATATATAAGCGGTATATACTATTGGTCTGTTCTCGTACTGCAAGAATCTACTAGATTTTACTATTTTCTTCGATAACATAAAGGAAAATTCGTTATCGTAGTAAAAAGTAGTAGATTCTTGCAGTACGGGAACAGACCATATATTGTTATTGAATAACATTTATTTTTTAATTACTTATTCACAATTAGTCCTGATTTAGATTAGGCGAGTTTAATTGCGGCAATTTTTATCGTTCTCTTTTGAAATTGCTTCATGCATCTATACAAGGCAATTCGGTTTCAAACCAATTTTTTTTTTTTGATATTTTGTGCATGTTTTGTTATGTTCGAAAATGTTTTGGATTGGTATTTCAAATTACTGACACTACAAATAAAATACACAAAACGAATTGCCAGAAAATTGTCGGTACGAGCAAATTTTTTCCATTTCTATTCCCCTTGCCCCTCTCTCCTGCAAACAAAAACTTGCCGCAAGTAAACTCGCCTAATCTAAATTGGGACTTAGCAATCGAAAATTCTACAAATCGAAACACACATGGTCTGTTTCCGTACTGCAACAATCTACTACGATAACGAATTTTCCTTTATGTTATCGAAGAAAATAGTAAAATCTAGTAGATTCTTGCAGTACGGGAACAGACCAACACACAAATGCGAATGCGACCTAATAATAATAATCAAAATAAAAATCGCTCCGTCTGTTACAAACGTCCCCTAGTTAAAAATCGCTCCGTCTGATACAATATTACAAAACAAATCATTATGTTTTATGCAAAATCGCTTTAATTTATGTACTTTTTTAAAAAAGTGGCACAAAGTAACAAAAAGTTTCACAAAAATTCAAAAAGTGGCACATTTTGTATCAAAATGAAAAAGTATCACAAAAGTAGCAAAGGCGAAAAAATGTGGCAAAATTGCCACTTTAGTGGCACAACGGTCACGCTGGTGAAGGGTATAAAAAACTTTCTGAAAATACAAAATTTGATACTCGCCATACGAAATGGTGGTAAATATGTGAAACGTTTACAGAAAAAAACTTACCTTACCCTTTAATTTCCACCATCCCCCCCACACAAAAATAATTCACCATACCACTTCTTTTCATTTAGGTCGCACCGATACAACATTAACCCATCACAACAACCCGACCATTAATGAGAAAATACTGGTAGCAGTGTTGCACATTATTGTACTTAGTCTTGACACAAACCTACAAATACAATGATTTCAATATATGTATCGAATTTACCATTGCTCATAATTCTCATATGCATTTTCCACCAAACGTTTGTATATATACAAATCGTAAACAGCAACATTCGTTCTTGCTTCGGCAGAACATATACTAAAATTGGAACGATACAGAGAAGATTAGCATGGCCCCTGCGCAAGGATGACACGCAAAATCGTGAAGCGTTCCACATTTTTTTTGAAAATTTCCTTCGATTTATAGCAATATTTTTAATATTAAAATGAAAAAAAAAATAACAAATATTTCTTGAATATAATACAGATGTTTTATTTATTGTTTAACATAATTTATTTCTCAAAAATTAATTTAAAATTAATTCAATTATTTTTTTTTTAACTTTATTTCATAAACATATTATTTTTAATATATATCGTAATTTTTATATAAAAAACTTTTTATATGACTTTTAAGAAATCAGGAAAAAAAACTAAATATAGACAAAAAACAAATAGAGATTACACTTTACAAAATAATTAGACATGGTAGGTGTTTATAAAAATGTTATATAAAATAGAAATAAAAGAAAAAAAAAACATTTTTTTTAATTCTACAAAAAATAGAATTTTTGTGCTTTTCTAAATAAAAAAAGATTTTCTTTCAATAAGAGTATCAAATATTGGAGATAGAGAGCTATATATGTGTGAATTTTGTTGTTGTTGTTTTTTGTTCGTTGATAAAAATCCATTAAGTAAATAGTCAGATTTTTTTAAAAAGAGATTCTAATCACTTCTGTGATGATGTCATGTTTAGTCGTGCTTTAATTCAGGTTGCAAATCAAACCAAGTATTAAGGCCATTGCCGGAGACTTCGGGATCTGTGAGAGGGATTTTAACCTGTAATAAAATGCAGTTTTAAATAAAACATATTTTTTAAAAAAATCTACGCCTTCAAAAAAATATATTTTTTAAAAATAATCCAGACCTTGAAAAAAATATTTTTTAAAAAATTCAGGCCTTGAAAAAAATATTTTTTTAAAAATCCAGGCCTTGAAAAAAATATTTTTTTAAAAATCCACGCCTTGAAATAAATATTTTTTAAAAAATCCAGGCCTTTAATTTTTTTTTTAAATCCACGCCTTTAAAAAAATATTTTTTTAAAAATCCATGCCTTTAAAAATATTTTTTTTTTAAATCCATGCCTTTAAAAATATTTTTTTTAAATCCATGCCTTTAAAAATATTTTTTTTTAAATCCATGCTTTAAAAAAATATTTTTTTTTAAATCCACGCCTTTAAAAAAATATTTTTTTAAAAATCTAGGCCTTGAAAAAAATATTTTTTTAAGAATCCACGCCTTGAAATAAATATTTTTTTTAAATCCACGCCTTTAAAAAAATATTTTTTAAAAAATCCAGGCCTTGAAAAACATATTTTATTAAAAAATCCAGGCCTTGAAAAAAATATTTTTTAAAAAATCCACAGCTTTAAAAAATCTTTTTTTCAAGGCCTGGATTTTAAAAAAAATATTTTTTTTAAAAATCCAGGCCTTGAAAAAAAATATTTTTTAACATCCAGGCCTTGAAAAAAATATTTTTTTAAAAATTCACGCCTTTTTAGGCCTGGGAAAAATATTTTTCCCCGCATTCTTAGGTCTTGAAAAAATATTTTTTAAAAAACCCACGCCTTGAAAAAAATATTTTTTACAAAATTTTTTTTAAAAAATACACGCCTTGAAAAATGTTTTTAATAAATCCACGCCTTTAAACAATTTTTTTAAAAAATCCACGCCTTTAAAAAAATATATTTTTTTAATCTACGCCTTTAAAAAATATTTTTTTAAAAATCCACGCCTTTAAAAAAATATTTTTTAAAAAATCCAGCCCTTTAAAAAAATATTTTTTTAAAATCCACGCATTTAAATTTTTTTTTAAATCCAGGCCTTGAAAAAAATATATTTTTTTTTTAAAAAATCCACGCCTTAAAAAATTTTTTTTTTAAATCCACGCCTTGAAAAAAATATTTTAAAAAAAAATCCACACCTTCAAAAATATTTTTAAAAAAAATCCACACCTTCAAAAAATATTTTTTAAAAAATCCACGCCTTCAAAAAATATTTTTTAAAAAATCCACGCCCTTTAAAAATATTTTTTTAAAAAATCCACGCCCTTTAAAAATATATTTTTTTTTAATCCACGCCTTCAAAAAATATTTTTTAAAAAATCCACGCCCTTTAAAAATATTTTTTTAAAATATCCACGCCCTTTAAAAAAATATTTTTTTTATCCACGCCTTCAAAAAATATTTTTTTAAAAAATCCACGCCCTTTAAAAATATTTTTTTTTTAAATCCACGCCCTTTAAAAATATTTTTTTTTTAAAAATCCACGCCATTTTAAAAATATATTTTAAAAAATCCACGCCATTTTAAAAATATATTTTAAAAAATCCACGCCTTTAAAATATATTTTTTAAAAAAATCCACGTTTTTAAAAAATATTTTTTTTAAAAATCCATGCCTTTAAAAAATATTTTTTTTAAAAATCCAGGCCTTTAACAATTCTTTTTTTAAATCCACGCCTTTAAAAAAATATTTTTTTAAAAAATCCACGCCTTTAAAAATATTTTTTAAAAAAACCCACGCCTTTAAAAAATATTTTTTAAAAAATCCACGCCTTGGTGGAATGTTTAAAAAATTCTGAGATAGAAAAATTACTCAAAAAAAAAATCCCCTCCCCCTCCTCCTCCCCTCACTTACCATTCCAATAATGGGACTACCAAAGAATCCCTTTTGCGTACAGACTGTAACCTCCAATTCACTCTGCAGCAGTTCCGCAGTCGACATCAAATATTCGAATGTGGCATCATAGACCGGATTACAGTTATCTTTGATGACAACGGTTTTACGTTTCGATTCTTTGCTACGACCAGGCAGTAGATATAGCTTAACATATGGATCGGGTATATTGGAGGGATCACGCATAGGGATATTCATAATTTTGTGAATGGTTACGAATAGTTTTTGACGTTGAGCCAAATAGTGGATGGTGAGGAGAATGCGACCCAAACCATGTTCTCCCGGTGAGGCTGAGAGATCGGGAACACGATGTGTCAACACCGATTCACCGCCTACCAAATTAGCTGAGAATGGATTGGGGCTACGTGGTGGGGTAACGGATTGTAAATTCGTGGGACTAGAGACTTTTAGATTGGGTTCCTCCTCGCTGAGGGGGGTATCGGCAGAAATGCGACTAGATTGGGATTGTAATTCCTAGGGAAGAAAAACAAACTTTTTTAGGTAAACGTAAGAAACACCTCTCAAGGATCTTACCTTTGGCGATGATGGTTCCTGAATACTGGCTGTTTTACTTATGGACCGGGCCAATTTATTCTCCCCCGCCACGGGGGCCTCTGATGTTTCTCCATCCTCAATGACCTCAGCCTTTTTCAAAATACGCAATGACAGTGACATAATCAACTTCGATTCGGGTCCAGATTTTTGTATTTGGAAAGGCTGCGAGACGATGTCCATATTCTCCTTACGCAGCAGGGTGGCAATGACATAACCAAATTGTCCAATTTCACTACCAGTCTTCTGATCGAAAATCTTAATTTGTAGGGTGTCATTTTCAGGATTTCCCACAAGGAATGTAAAACCTTGCTCCCACACGGGTGAATTGTCACGCATAATCATGCCAGTTTGTTGCTTCTGTTTACCAACACTGCACACCAAATAAGGATCAGGATTGGAATTTATGCGAGCCTGTTTGAGATTCTTGGCGGAATCAATGAAAACAATCAGCACAGCTGAGCTCATGGAGGCAACACGTAGTAGTTGGGTTTCGGCCAGGGCGGCTTGCAAATCCAATGGGTTGGCGGTGAGTTTATACCATTGCAGGCGTACATGGAGCATACCATGCTTGGCATTTTCCAAAGTGAGCCACTGTAAGATAAAAATGTTAGGAAAATTATAGAGGAACGAAATTTAAAAGAATTTCAGAGAAAAATACTTACAGTGTCCACAACGCCCCGCTTCACCGCATTGATAATTTCAACGCTTGCCCTGCAAGGGATTTTAAAAACATGGAATTAAAATTTTCTGTTTAATAAATAATTTTCGGAATTAGAAAAATTTGTATTATCGAAAAAAGGAAATAAAATTGAATTTGAAACTCTATTTTTTTTCTAAGTCTAATATTAGTACTAGGCTAGTAGAAAAATTAGTTAAAGTTAAAAAGGGGAGTAATCGATTTTTAAATTAGGGTTTTGTTATTTTTTTTATTAGGAGGTACATATAATAATTATCCAAACACCCGATATCTTGAGAATATTCAAATCCTTCACAGAAGTGACTTTAAAAATATATAATATATAATTTTGAAAATTTCCGAAGAATTGTCGTGACTTCGAGTAAAGAAATATTAAAAAAACTGGTGATAAAACCTCAAAAAAACATTTTGAGACTTCGAGCTCAAAAAAATTAAAAAAAAATCCTTAAGGAACTTCACTTCCAAATAACTGAGAGAAATTATTTAAAAGCTTTATATTTTTTCAATTAGTTATGTAAAACATTTTTTATTAGATGAAGGTTTAGACCGAAATATGAAATTTTATATTTTTCATGCAAAAACATTTTTTGAAATAAATGTTCAAAAAAAATAGAACAGAGGAGTTTTTTAAGAAAACTTCTCAGAAGATTCCCAGTTCCTGCCAGTAACTCAAAAATACTCTTGTCTAACCACAAGTAAGGGATTCATGTTGAATATTTAAAAGAGGAATACGTATCCATAGAAAATCATAGTATCCTTTATATATATACTTGAAAGACATCAGTAGTAATAAATCACTAAAATGTCGGATACACATTTTTATGAGATTTACAATTGTACGAAATATTGATCCTTTTTAGTGAATGTATCAGAAGGAGTAAACCGTTTGGTCCCATCTTCGGACTTTATCCAGATTTGGAATAAATATTATAAAATTTTCTAAAAATTAGAAAAAAAGGAAGAAAGAAAATATTGAGGCTTTCAAAGTTGTCAGTTGGCGGGGGAGACATCTGAAAATTAATCACGGATCTGAAACAAATCTAGCAGATCATAAAAACCATGAACATTTGTTTACATTTCGAAATTTAAAATGGAGATTCAATTCAGATTAAATTCCCGGAGAAATCTTTTTTAGAAGAAGATGTTGATATCTTTCATGGGAAACCCCTATTGGAATGCAATAGGCATTTTTGTTGGATATAAGGGCTTTGTTCCACACTGATTAAAGAATGTTTCATACAAAATTTCAAGTGAAAATTTGATGACCTATTGATTTTCGAGATATAGCCGATCTTTATAACAACACCAAATTATATTGTGTATGAAGACCATAATGTCGGTTTTCTCTAAAAAGATTCAGTTCAGATTAAATTCCCGAAAAAAATTTTTTTTGAGAAGAAGATGTTGATATATTTTAGAGTTGTTCTTTCTAGTTCAGTTAGCTGATCGCTCTTTTTAGTTCAGCTCGGTGTGTAGTGTATAGCTCTAGTTCACTCGTTCACAATTAAGCAGTTGTCTTACTTCGGTCGTTCTTTTAATAGCCAATGGCTCTCCAAATCGTTCAGTTGATAGTTTGTGTTCTTGGAAGATTGCGATGTGTGAATAAAAACAATTTTACAATTTTGATTTATTTATGGTGAGTATATTATGTTTTAAAAAATTTTAGAACAATTTATGGGGATCTGTAAGGTGTGGATTTTTAAAGAAAAGTTTCAGAATAATTGAAAAATTCTTGCGAGCATAAATGATAGCCAACATATTTTATATGTTTACTAAATGAAATCGCTGTTAATATCACATGCAAAATAAAACTCGATCGGTGCCCCTTTCATTTAGAGAAAAATCGAACTAGGTCAGTAAAACGCTCACATTTGAAAAAAGAAATAATCATTTTTTCGTTCTTTGATCTGTAATAAGAAAGATCTTGAAAGATGTCCTTATATTAGATGAAGCATTTGAACTAGTTCGTTCGTGAACTGTACAACTCTAATGTATTTCATGGGAAAACCCTATTGGGATGCAATAGTATTCTATAAGAAGGGCTTCTGATCTAAAATAAGAAGACCCAAGACCTTCTGGCCTTTTATAAAAAACTTTGTGGTCGGGTCGGGACTATTTGATGACCTATTGATTTTCGACAATAACACCGAACGATCTTCTATAACAACACCAAATTATATTGTGTAAGAAGACCATAAGTAAAAAGAAAACAAGTCTATAACAATATTAGGTCTATAAAAGTGTACTTTGGTTATTCTATAAGAAATTACTTTGATGTTATCAAAGAAGGCCTACTGTCCCCCTTTTTTTCTATAAGGATTTTCCTAAGAAAGCTTTTGGGCTTCTATAATAAGGGTTTTTTTTGGACTTTTCTCAGATAAAGTTCAATCTAAATGTTTCCATCCACACCCTTGGTATTATAAGAAGGCCTTTCTGTCTTCTTCTGGTCTTCTATAAAAATACTTTTTCACCTTCTCTAAGAACCTTCTGTCCTTCTATGATAATACATTCAATGAAACCCTTGTGGATTTCTACCGAAATACCCTCTTGTAAGAACACAATCTGTCAAATAAGAAAACAGTCCTAAATTTTACTCTCCGATCTTCTATGAGAAGTTAGTTATTCTTCTACACGAAGACATTGCGAATTTCTATATAAATATCTTCTGCCTTCTATAAGATAATCTAATGGCATTTTTAAGAAATCTTACTATTTTTTATAACGAAGCCTAAGAAAGACTTCCGGTCTTTTGCTATATCTAAATTTTTACCGATATTCACGAAACTTTGCACAATTCAGTACGCTATGCCAAAGATGGAATTTTTTGGCTTTGTAAGGAAAATAAGGTTTTCTCTGACGTTAAATTTGTCCATCTACACTCTTGGTGCCTAAGCTTTTAAGCGTCACTCCATGACCCAATGAAAAGGTCACCCGATGATTTCACCCAAGCTTTTAAAATGCTTTCAATTTTGTCTTAATCCTATGAAAAACGTAAACAAAAAAATTTTACAATATGGGTGATTTTCAACCAAAATAGCCGATAATATTCGCTTCTTACAAGATCTGTTTCATGGACTTTGCGTCTTCTTTTATTTCTTCATCCTTTCTCTGTTCTTTTTCATTGTAGCATGGTTTTTTTACAATATCAATTAGTACTCGGTAATCATTCACATTACAATTGGTTATTTCCCCAATCTATTCGACTACAGCTCGGCCAACCTGACGGTAGTGACCGACTCAATCACCTGGCTATAAACCACATATCATGATGCAGTAATAAGGTGATGTATCACAACAACAACCTTTGTTTTTGTCTCGATTATCTGTCAAATTTTTCCATATTTCATATTTCAAATGGTTGGCAACACTGCACATCGAATTCAAGTAGAAATTACCCACTTTGACAGTTAATCAAGACATCAGCTGCGCTAAATGGACTACCTATTCATTGTGCCATGCCACATATTTAATATAAACAACAGTACTACTACTGCTAGGCAGAGCAGCCTATGTGTGACCATACCAAAGTCCTCGGTTTTCCAATGTCTTATATTGCATGCTTCTATCTAGGGATAAGTAAATCGACTTTCGACTAATCGAGTCGAAGTCCACTTTTGATCTTTGAGGACTTTTCAAGATCGACTTTCGATTTTCTTTATAAATACTTGATTTATTATCCCAAATCGCCGAAATATTACACATTCCTCAAAAATTTATATAAAAAACAGTTAATTTGCATCAGTCGGTAAAAGTAGATTTTGAACAGGTTTGACATAATCGAAAGATCGACTTTTTAGACAACGACAAAAATCGAAAAGTCGAGTTTTGCGTTCGACTACGTTTTCCTACTCCTTCACCCCACCACAGGGAATTTTCGTAATTTGACAATACTCAATATTTTTTATAGCATATCGATCGTTCGGCAGCACTCTTGAATTTCGGCTATAGCTTCTTGTTTAACCCTACAGTGGTGTCCAAATTTCGTATCACTACAAAATCTCCTACATCAAATGAGTTAACCAACACCCCTTTTGCTTTAGCCCTTTTTATACCCTTCACCACACTGTGGTACAGGGTATTATGTCTTTGTGCATATGTTTGCAAAAGGAAACGAGATAGACACATGGAATATGCTTTTGAATCACTTTATGCATGTCCGATTTATGCATGTCCGTCCGTCTGTCTATCCATGTTAAATTGTAAACAAAGTACAGGTCGCATTTATGATTCGATTTGGACGAAATTTGGCACAAGTCACTTATTTGGCCCAAGGACAAACCCTATTGAAATTGGGAAAAATCGGTTCAGATTTAGATATAGCTACCATATATATTTTCGTCCGATTTAAGGTAAATGGGGCAACAAAGTCCCTTTCGATTTGCACGAAATTTGGCACAGAGTACTGAATTAGGCCCAGAATGATGTGTGCCAAGTTTCGAGAAAATCGGTTCAGATTTGGATATAGTTCCCATATATAGTTTCGTCCGATTTAAGGTAAATGGAGCACCAAAGTTCCTATATATCATTCGATTTGCATGAAATTTGACATAGAGTACTGAATTAGGTGCAGAATGATGTGTGCCAAGTTTCGAAAAAATCGGTTCAGATTTAGATATAGTAATATAATGATGCACCAAAGTCCCTATATATCATCCGATTTGCACGAAATGTGGCATAGAGTACTGAATTAGGTCTAGAATGACGTGTGCTAAGTTTCGTGAAAATCGGTTCAGATTTAGATGTAGCTCCCATATATAGTCTTGTCCGATTTTACGTAAATGGCACACCAAAGCCCCTATATATCCTCGATTTGCACGAAATTTGGCATAGAGTACTGAAAAAAATCGGGTCAGATTTAGATATAGCTAACATATATATTTTTGTCCGATTTAAGGTAAATGGGGCACCAAAGTCCCCATATATCTTTCGATTTGCACGACATTTGAATTAGGTCCAGAATGATGTGTGCTAAGTTTCGTGAAAATCGGTTCACATTTAGATATAGCTCCCATAT